TGCAATAGATTGAATCGATAGTTTATAATAAATATAAAAAATAAAGCCCTATCAGATATAGAAAACCTATGGACGGGACAAAAAAAGAACGTAACACTACAAACTTGCAAACAACAAAAACACATGATGTTAAAAGTCTAGACAAAAATAAAACTAAAATTTATACCTGGTCGTGAGGTGAGCGTAGAGAACTTATGTCAGATTCTTTGAGACATTTCGTCAGACACCTAAGGTGCCTGTTCTAATAACCCATCTTTTTTAATTTAACATGACAAGAAAAATCCAAATATTACAGTAAAGTGTAGGAAATGAACTAAATTAACATGTATTTAGATTATGCAAATTATTTTGAACAATGGTCCTTCAAAAATATACTTATTGTTGTAGCATACATACATACACAGTTTAATAAAAAAATCAATTGTAGTTATGCAATTTGATTCTACCATATAAATACGAACACATAGAAAATTTAAGAATCAAATAAAAAATTTGTCTATAATACTGTAAATCTGATATTCAAGGAAATAAGATCATTCATAATTTAGATTCTAACTTTTTAGCCTACTTCTGACATGGTTCATGTATTAATATTTAGAGAAACTGGTAGACAGTGATGTTGATATTAAGTGTTGTATATTGTTGTTATTGGTAAAAAAAACTAAGTTGTAGTTTAAAATTAAAAGTTTTTTTTCATGGTAAGTATGTTGCTATAATTTGTAAAAAAAATCACATAGCTATTGATAGATAAAAATAAACGTATGTTGCTATTGCAGTTTGTAGAGGTTGTTGAGTATCGAGTCAAAGTTAATAGGTTAAGCATTTAATATGAAAAGTTATACATTGTTGGTTTTATTTTACTTAATCTAGACCGAATGATGTAATATGTTAAGCCAAAAAACTTTATGTAATGTTTTATAAGATTTCAAAAATAGAAACATAATTTTGTTAGTCACAGAAAGCAATCTTTGAAAGGTTATATTTGTTGTACAAAAACATATACAAATTAGAATAATTATAGTTTAACTCTTTTTGGATTAAATTGTTTATAAAATCCATCCCCTTAATAGTGACTAAAAAGATAAATTAAAAGAGACATTTAAAACACGAAAAAATCACAACAGGTTACTGCTAAAAATGGTATAACAATGTACTTTAAAAGTACATTCCTAAAAATGGTATAATATGAAGTTATTGTATTCAAAAATAAGGTCAGTAACAGTAACCAAGTTGAGATAATCAAACAAACGGAAATAATAGTAGCAGTCGATTTGATCAATTTTTGAATTAAATTACCGATTTACCCTTCTGATCAACATTGTCCATACTAAATTAATGATTTACCCTTCGGATAAAAAAATGGAAGTATCATGCTAAAAGAATCATTTTAGTACACGTGTCATCTCAATATCTATTGTTGAATTGCTTTTCCAGCCCAATGCTTTTCTAGTTTCCTACGTCGAATTACCTTTTTGCCCTTACATGTCCTTACTTAAAGGTTTCCTGCATCTAATTTGCAATCAAATTAAAAATAAATCACATAAATTTAGGAGTTTATCGATACCTTCAAAAGGTAAGTTCGAATCTTACTTCTTTATTCTATCCCAAATAAAATTACTTTGCCCCTAAACCTTAAAATCATACTTAACATTTAAAAAAAATTCATCCAACAATATCAATACCCTTTAGTTATGATTTGAATTTAAAGTTATAACTGTTGTAATTCAACCATCATATCAGGATATTAATTTACATTCAAACACTAAAAATATATCTCTTTATTCCTATTATACCCTTATCATCCATTTTCCATTCGGTATTACCATATATTTATCTTAACAGATTATTTGAGTTCTATATCAAGATTGCAATTCCTGTAATTCAGCTAACAATTTAAAATATTATATACAATAAAAAACAGTAACCAGGTTGAGATAATCAAACAAACAGAAATAGTAGCAGCCCACGCTTTGATCCATGTTTAAATTAAGTTACAGATTTACCCTTTTGATGAACATTGTACATACTAAATTAATGATTTACCGTTCGAATAAAAATTGGAATCATGCTAAACGAATACAAAAAAATTGATTACCATGAAAAGGAAAATGGATAGGGGTGCATTTGTCATTCCATGAAAGTACTTTGCTATAATGTGTTTTAACTGCTTTCCATCAAAGTGCATTATTTCTTTTTCTGGATTAATGGTATGTAATATATTTTCCTATTTATTTGAAAAGTTTCAGAAAAGTAGTTAACCGATTTCATGTAATTTGTGACAAAGAAAAATGAAATATATGAATACATATATTTGATACAGGAACAAAAAAAATCAAAAAAAAAATATAAAAAGCGAAAGAAGGTGCTGACCTTGTAGTGCACAACAACGAATGTTTGAAGCAGAGAATGATGATGGAAGTTATAAGCAATAAGAATGATGTTGTAGGAGAATGTTTGAATAAAAGCAAGAATTGAAAATAAGTGTGAGCCGCAGATTTAAGGATGAATCCTATATGTATTTGATAATTTGAATCTGATTGTTTGGTATTAATGATTTCCTAATAAAAATAGATTTTATATTAATGGTTTACTAATATAAACCAATTTATATTAATGGTTGATATTCAATTCCTTAATTGAAATGTTTTTTTTTTTGAACTGGCAATTCTAATCTACTCATGAGCGAACAACACCTATTCCATATATGTCAATGATGAGACTTGAACCCTCAACCTCAAAGATGGAGGACACCACCTGATACCGTTGGGATACAAACCCATTTGGTAATTGAAATGGTTTTTAGTAATGTGTTTTTAAAGTTGCCATATTAAAACCTTTATAACCAGAAGTCCAAGATTTAAAATATAAAAAAACTTTTATTGGAATTAAATACATTTAATATCAACCGGTGTAAGTTAATTTTGTTTGACAAATAGAAAACTTTTATTGGAATCAAATATATTCCATTTGAGGAAGAAGATGATGTCATCAATTTGAGTTAACAGTGGAAAAAAAATAAGATTAAAATGCAATCAAATGTTGAGATTGGTTAAGATAATCTCATAACGTTTCTGTTTTAATATATATTAAAGATTATGTTGTAAATGAATAGTATAACACCAAATTTGGTGTTATACTATTCATTTACACTATAACAAATAAAAATTTCATTTGTCATATTTAGTCAATCATCTTTTATTTTATTCTATTATAGTTTATAATATATATTATAAATATATCCTAAAGATAATAATTATTATTTATTATAATATTATTTTATATATTAAACTGTAATTAATTCATCATAAATAAATAAAAAATATGTTTTTAATATAGTTTTTGTTTAAAGAAAAGAAATTTAAATAAAATAATATCTAATTCGTATTTTAATAGTATGCAAATAATTAACTTTACTATATTTTATTATAATATAATTTATAATTTTTTTATATAAAAAAAGATGTAAATAAATAAGTAAAAACTTAATAAGTTGAAGAGTGTTTTTTATAATCTGTATAAGTTTAAAAGAAAAATATATTAAATATAATTTTTAGTATAATAAATGATATTAAAAATAATATATGGTTGGAGAAATATTATTTGTAGGGGTGAGCATTTGGACCGAACCGGACCGGACCGGACCGGAACGGTGCTTGGACCGGACCGGTTATAGAGAATATTGTGGACCATGGACCGGACCGGATGAGTCGTGTCCGTGTCCGTGTCCAGGTCCGGGTCCAGGTCCGGGTTTTCCGGTTCTTGGACCCGTTTGGACCGGTACAACTTTAATTGCATAGAGTACAAGTCGTTAAAATAAGTTTTTAGGTTTGACACGATACAACTTGTAAAAATGATTATGTTTCTGTTTCATGCATAACTAATCTACCTTGATGTTATAATATTATAAGTTGCAAAATTAATTTTCCAAATAAAATCAACTAACATATAAATCAAGTTTATCAAGATTCCTTTCATATGATTTATCTATCAAAGATACATAAAATTCAGAATTATAGTATAAAATGATAGTTAAAAAGTTGAAATATTTCAGCTTTTATAGCTCAACTTTGAAGGATTGTAACTCATTGAATATAATATCAAAATCAACAAATTTATAGTCTAAATTTATCTACAAACTGTAAAATAAATGTTGGAAAAAACCTCAGGTCAATCCGACTTAAAACGAATGAGTTATGGTTGTTTAAAAAATTTCACAGATTACAAAATTTTAAAAAACTTGTTGAAAAGCTGAAAATTTTCAGCTTTGATAGCTCAACTTTTGAAAGACTATAACTCATTGAATATAATACCAAAATCAACAAAATTATAGTCTAAATTCATCTACAAACTGTAAATTAAACGTTGGAAAAAACCGTGTGTCAATCCGACTTAAAATGAATGAGCTATGGTTGTTTAAAAATTTTCACAGATTACAAAATTTTAAAAATGTTGTTGAAAAGCTGAAATTTTTCAGCTTTGATAGCTCAACTTTGAAAGTCTGTAACTCATTGAATACTATACCAAAATCAACAAAACTATAGTCTAAATTCATCTACAAACTGTAAGTTAAACGTTGGAAAAAACCGCGTGTCAATCCGATTTAAAACGAATGAGTTATGGTTGTTTAAAAATTTTCACAGATTACAATTTTTTTTTAAAATCGGATTCAACCGGTTCTAAACCCGGTAAAAACCGGACCGGACCGGGAAAAAAAACCAGACCGGACCGGGATGGATTCCTAGAACCGAGAACCGGCTCGGGGGTCCAAAAAAACGGTCCGGACAGTTCCGGTCCACCGGTCCAAATGCTCACCCCTAACTATTTGTACCGTTTTTTTTCTTATTATTATTATTTTTTTTAAAATTAATTTAATATATGAAAATTGTTTAGGGTTGGAGATGGTTTTAGTTTTAAAAGATAGATTGAAATTGAATGTTGTAAGATAGTTCAGGGACTATGATTATAAATGTATTCTTCCATAAAGATGAATTCGTCGCTACTTTTGCTTCTTTTCTTCACTTTGTGATCGAACCGACTTAACTCGCCTGCTTGGATTTGTCCGGACTTTTTAGGGTTTCTTCTCTCCCTTGGTGTGCCCTTCATTCAGAACCCTAATCGTTTGCCAGGTATTTGAGATATAGTTCAATAATTTATCATTGATTTTCTTTGTCCTGACATGATCATATTCTAAATGAACTGCAATCCTCTGATGAATTAGGTTTTTTATTTGGGTTTTCCCTAATTTTTACTGTTGATCTTTTTTTGTGGACGGCTGAAGCTGTTTTTTTTGTGAAGATTACATGATTCTTGTATGTATTCTGATTAACAGTCTTCGATTATTCCATCGAATGCGATTTTAGGGTTTTTGTGTTTATTATATATGTTAAACATTGATTACTTGTATCCCTGGGTTGTTAGAAGTACGATATTGATGCAAGACCCATTTTCAAAAAGAAAGATTTCGATCATACCACTAATATAGAACTAGAGATTCTTGTTTTTTATTTTTGGTTCTTTTGATCATCTTGGCATCCCACAAGATAATTAGATAACTAAATACGACTATTTTACACAATCAAATCTCTCGACTCTCAAGCATGTTCTTCAATCAACTTATGTCAGTATTGACAGCTCTCTCTCTCTCTCTCTATGTGTGTGTGTGTGTGTGTGAAGATGGAAGATGATAAAGCCACCACAGTTATCGTGACATTTACCAAATTTTTCTCAGATATTCTTCTCATTTTGGGTATTTTATTTGTAGATGTTTAGTGATGTAAAATTATTATTTGTCGTCTGAATAATAAAGTTCATTATATTTCTTCATGAAGTTGATTATCATGTATCTTAGAGTTGTTTATACCATGACTCCATCTTTAAAGCTATAGTCTCTTTTTGATCTTTATACAGATCTAAGCAACACTTGTGTTAAGAAAAGCTTCGGTTTCCATTTCACTTTACCAGAAAACTTTCATGTCTGACCTCGACCTCCAGATTCCCACTGCTTTTGGTAAGTTGTTTCATCTCAACAAAAAATCTTACATTGTTAATACTGATTTTTCCAAATATTGAAGGTAAATTTTTAATCTTTATTTATTTATTTTTTTGTTTCAAAAGACCCGTTTGCTGAAGCTAATGCTGAGGACTCTGGTGCTGGATCAAAAGAATACGTTCATATTCGTGTTCAACAGAGAAATGGTAGAAAAAGCTTGACAACTGTTCAAGGGTTGAAAAAAGATTTTAGCTACAATAAGATTTTGAAGGACCTTAAAAAAGAGTTTTGCTGTAATGGCACTGTTGTTCAAGATCCTGAACTAGGCCAGGTTTTTATTTTTTATTTTTTTAAAATCTTACAAGCTTGATGTTGTTATTATTATTATTACTTTATTTTTGCTTTTAAATTCGGATTTCTCACATTTTTTATGTTGTTTTGAAGGTCATTCAACTTCAAGGTGACCAGAGAAAGAACGTCTCTGCCTTTCTTACTCAGGTAACTTTTTCCAATGTATGCTAGATTGACTGTGAGTTTGAGTAAATGACCGTTTTACCCTTCTGTATGTAAATGATGGGTAAATTAGTAAATAACAAATGACTTTATTTAAGAATTGTTGTAAATCCAATTTGTTTTATTTAATAGTTAAGCATTGTTTGTTTTGGTCTTGGAGAAATTTCAACTTTGTCAAATATGTTGAGCTAAGAGATTCTTGCATTAGTATTTTTTTTTTTTTGAAAGAGGATTCTTGCATTAGTATTTAATTATATCGTGAAATGATTTTTTTTTATATATCGTTTGTAAATGGATATGTGTTTGCTTTTGTGTAGGCAGGAATAGTGAAAAAGGATCATATCAAGATTCATGGATTTTAAGGAGTGTGGTGTCAGGGCTATGGTGAGCAATATAATCAAGTGTACTTGTTATGGATATGAAGAAGTTAACATGTTATCTTTGCTATTATATGGTGTGATTGCGAATCTAGTAAAGACAAGATTATGAAAATGTTTTTTACATTCTGACATTAAGAATATAATAATAATGACTGAACAATGAAAAGATATTATCACATGCCGCATTTTATTATATATGTTTTTTATACAGTTATAAGATTTTTTTGATTTGAATAACAAGTGAAAAGAAATTGCTTGTTGTGAGAGAAGAATAAAATGTGATGCATGCTTATGCTTGTTCTTGGAACAAAATGGAAGGTGGTTTGAAATTATTTATTTAACCTATTAAACCATATAATCTTTGACAGTTTTTTGCTTATTAAAGTTTAGAAGAATTTTGCTTACAAATCTGTTTGTTGGATATAAGTATAAAGTACTGATGTCTTATTTTATGTTGTTAAAAATGCTAACATGTTTAAAAGAAGGGAATGTTTTCTTTATCAACTTGTTTAAAAAATGTTATATTTATTTTCGACCAATTTGCAGAAAATAATCAGCCAACTAAATTATTTTACTGATTGTACACTTTACTACGTATTTTTATGGTTAAAAGATGCGTAAAGATACAAATTAACAGCTACACATTTGTGATGAAAACAAATGAAGTAGTATAAATGTAACTCGCCATATCTGCAATGGATTTTGTCTGTGTATAACTAAAGCAAGCATTTTGCTTGATTATCTTAAAGCAACATAACTATGAAGTTGATTAAGAAACATTACAACTTTTTTCGAATAACGAGGTTTAAACCTTGGGTCAATCCAATTCGCTGCAAACTACCAGTTACGTGGATCAGGTAAACAATCCCCAAAGAGCTGAACCATGTTGTGAGAAGAGAACTTGAGGCAACTTATTTGAAGTGGTTTATCACAAATTTCACTATTAAGGCATACACTATACAAGTTATAAGTCAATAATGAAGTTTAGGTAAGAATAGATAATTAAGAAAGAAGACTAGTATCATTTTGACCAATACTTAGGGATGGGAGTAGGACAGGTGTGGGATGGTATTAGTGATCCCAATACCATACTCGGTTATAAAATTGTATCCCAAACATGATCATGTCTCGATGGGTACCAATTAGCAAATACTCATCGGGTTTGTGGGGTTTAACAATGGGTATCGGTATTCCATTTATAATCTTAAAACATTAAAGATGTATTATTTGTTTGTGGAAAATTTTCTAGTTTTTTATGAAAAATGAAAATGAAATTTTCTGTTTTTTAAATTGTATGTAAATTATAAAAGTGATTCTTATAGTTTTTCAGTGAAAACTCCACCGGTTTCAACCAAACGTGATTTCTAAAATTTTTATTGAAAACTGAAAAAGAAAACACAACTTTACTTATTGAAAATGTTTTTTTTTAAATGTTTTCACAACCAAACACACCCTCAAGTTACATGTTGGAATTTTCATTACCGAAAACCATATCACAATCTCATCTAAAAGATGTCTTAATTTTTTTTATTTTATTTTTATTTTTTTATTTTTTTATAATTCTAATTTCTAACAAAATCATGAGTTTAATATCTAAGAAATTTGATGTAAAGTAAATTATGGTAATTTATTTGCTTGTCTCTAATTTTATTTTTTTCATTTGGAAAATCCTTATAGTTTTGTTTTGTTTTGAATTTGATCCCTAATAAAAATGAAAAGACTGATATGCCCTTTGTTAATTTATTTTGCCTTTTTATATTATTAATTAAATAAAAAATATCGATAAATATGTTAAAAATGTTGTAGTTAAATATATGGGTTTTTTAAACTGAAAAATCCAGACCACCCTACCCTTCCTCCCCCTTTGTGTTCAGTCATCAGAAAATCACTTTCGACCACCACCACCACTAACCTTTGGTGACCACAACCGCTACCTCTGTCACCAGAAAAAACACCATCGATGTTCAAATAAAAAATATTAACCCAGAAATCCATTCAAAAATAAAAAACTAACATAAATAAACATTAACATACATACATACATACATACATATATATATATATATATATATATATATATATATATATATATATATATATATATATATCGGCACAAAGCCACAAATCTAGACTATATCTTCGTCGGAATATGTTGAAGAAATCCTCATATGCAAGAAAAAACATGTAATTCAACTTTAATTTCCTTTAATTTGAAGCCTAATTAGTTAGATATAGCTTCAATTTCTTCTTACTTAAAGGCTAACCGAGTTGACTTTGACTCAATTATGTCTAACAAGAGCATGAAGATAGTTGATTCTTCAAGTTTTTCAGCTAATTTGAACCATAATCAATCGGGAGAGTTCTATGGGGTGCAATGCTCGGGTGAAGACGAAGGAAAATGAGGTGGAGGTTTGATTGAAAACAACCAATGCAACAATGAGATCTAAGGTTTGGTTGTCAGACGTCGGTTCCAAACCCGATGGTTTCAAAAGGGGATGGATGTGGGGTGAGGGTTTGGGTTTCTAAAATCACTGGATGTCACATCGAAAATGAAGTACTTGTGTCGGACATGAAGTAGAGGGAGCAATAGAGACATAGTGTTGGAGGCACGTTTCCTATAGGTTTTGGCAAATTCCTTTTTTGTTTGATGTTAAATAATAATAACATTAATTTAATTTAAAAATTAAATGAGGATAAGATGGTTATTTTAGATCTATCAGAGACTAAACTCGAAACAAAACAAAACCATATTGACGGTATGCGTTAAAGAAATTATAAAGTATAACACATGCATATTACCCCAAACCGCAGAGACCATTCGTGTAATTTACTTTTTTTTATAGATAATAATTACAATACAAACTTAGAATTTCATAACAAACTAATCATGGTTATAACATAAATATAAAAAAGACAATATTATCAATTTCCATTATAAAAAGTAGTGATTATATAACACGAAATACCACATATAATATTATAGTATAGTTTGAAATCATATATCTTAACAATAAAAATACAAATGGTCTGGGATATGGGACCGAATAATCGGATGTATATAACTCTAGTGCCATAACAATATTAAACCAACAAATATATTTAGAAAAAATCTCATATTCGGTCTCATAACCATTACGCATCCCAAAAGTTTCGAGTTCGGTTTTTTCAAGTCGGGTTTGGGTATTGTTGATATCCTTACATTCGTGTAATTTACTCTTTAATATATAATATTCACAATACAAACTTATAGTATATGAATTTCATGACAAACTAATCAATATCATAACATAAATATAAAAAGACAATATCATCAATTTTCACTTTAAGAAGTAGTAATTATACTTTCTATTTCTAATACCACATAATACTCCATCCGTCCCGAAATTATAGTCGATTTTTCATTTTTGATTTGTCCCAAAATAATAATCCACTTCTAAAAATAAATAATATTTTTACCAAAACACTCCCTCATTATTACTTAACCAACTAAGCATTTAATGGAACATTAAATGCAAAGTAAGGAAAAAACAGTCATTCTATTGTATAAAGTTAGTGGTAATTAATGCTTCCTTAATCTGTGTGTTTTTTGTCTGTGGACAATAATTTTGGAACGGATGGAGTATTATAATATAATTTTATATTATATATATTAATAAAATAAAATATAAATATTATAAAAATATAAAAGGTTCAGGGACAAATAAATGGGACCGAGTATGAGATTGGATAATCGACCGGATATAACTCTAATACCATAACCATTTCAAACTCACAAATATATATATAGAAAACAAATATCATACCCGCCCATAAGGCTTAGGGGAGTGGTGCGGTCTTTACCGCACCTTTTGCCACATAGGTAGGGGAACACCACCCCCTGACTGCGGTTTGGGTGCGGTTTAGACCGCAGTGTGGTAAAAAATAGTCGTGTTTTGTGATTGGGTGGGGAAAAATAATATTTTTATTTAAATTATTTATTTTAAATAAAGTGTGATACCACTCCTTGGGTGTGACAAGAAACACTTTTGTGGTAAAAATGACGTGACGTTTATGTGACAATGAAGGAAGTGCGGTTTCGGGGCACCACTCCCTCCAGCCTAACAATTTACCCGTCCTAAAAGTTCATGTTCAGTTTTTTCCTTAGGGGTTAAGTAATTTTGACACCCCTATCAATACGTATGCTTATGTTAAAACCAATGTTGTAAAAATCGGTCTAAGAGGCCGATTAATCGGGGATTAATCGCTAGGCGGTCTTCAACCGAATAGGATTAAGGCTAATCGGTCGGCTTAATCGGTTTTGGTCAAAGGGGGTTAAAGTCGGAGCTAGACGGGTCTAATCGGTCCTAGGCGGCCTAATCGGCCAAATTTTCAAATTTTCAAAATTTTAAATATTAAGCCAAAATTTTCAAAAGTTCATAAGTTCATAAGTATTTCAATGTTCAACTAATATAAAAAAATTTAAAAATTAAATTTTAAACCTTTTCTTCAAAATTTCTATGTTTTCAAATATACAAATACCCAAATTTACTTCTTTTTTTAAGATATATTAAAATTTGAATAACTTTTCTTATTAATTGGATGATAAATTGTTGTGCTTGTTAAACTTATTATTAAACTTTTATGCTTATTTATTTATATTCTTACGATTAAAGTTACATTTATAAATTTTGAATAATTTTCTTAATAATTAATGGTCCCCGATTAATTTCCGCCTAACCGATTAATCCCTAAACCCTAGTCCACCGACTAGGTAACGTCTTAAAACATAAAAATGGATTATAGTTAATTAAATATGAATTAACGAGCCAATAATTTTAAAACAGTTAGCTAAGATAGACAATATAGTATAATATAAAATAAGTTAAAAAGCGGTCTAGATATACACCTTTTTAAAACTACAAATATATTTATTAAAAATATACTTTTTAAGTTTAGTAATAAATTAAACATCTACAAAAAATAAAAGTAAAATATTAATGAGCCTATGACTATCAACCAAATTAAAAATTACTGATTTGATCCAAAATTATTTTGGCAAATCTACTTTAACACTATTGCTTACGTCAAATTAAATATAAAGTAATCTAATAAAAATAAAAAGTTACATTATTTTGAAGTACAGTCTTACTCAATGATGCATAAAATGACAACCATGAATCTTTTTTGCTAACTAAATCCAAATAAAGTTACGCACTAACACCATGGTCCCCGCC